GTCTCTCATACTTTGGACATATTGTCAGGAGGGAACAGTCTCTGGAGAAGGATGTCATGCTGAGTAAGATGGAGGGTCAGAGAAAAAGAGGAAGACCCCCAACGAGATGGATTGGCCAGGTGGCATCATTGATGGCGTCAAGTGTGGCAGCAGTGATGAGGTTGGCCCAGCATTGGACATTGTTTCGTTCTGCTGTGCATGGGGTTGCTATGAGTCAGTTCTGACTCAATGGCACCTGACAACAACAACAACAACACTTATAACACTATCACATAGAGTTAAAAAATATTCATTTTAAGAGAAAAGTCAAGCCATTTTTTGTTTGGGTATTATTGTGGATCATTTGTTCCTTGCTTCTAGATTTGCAGTAGGCTTCGGGGAGAGTTTGACTGTTACTGTTTTGCATAGGAGGACAGATTTTGTTAGGAGGAGAAGAAAAAGCCAGTATACCCCATTGAATGACTGTTGCTAGATGCTATGGAGTCCGTTCCGTCTCATAGTGACAATAGAAAGTACAATAGACAGCAACACTGCCTGGTCCTGCAGCGTGACTACTGTGGTTGCAGTGCTTGAGACCATTGTGGTAGCCATTGTTGCTGAGGATCTTGCTCTATTTCACTGACCCTCTACTTTACCAAACACGATGCCCTTCTCTGGGGACTGGTCGAGATCCGCCTTGATAATGTGTCCAAATGACAACATGTCCAAGTCTTGTCATTTTGCCTCTAAGGGGCATTCTAACTGTGCTTCTTCCAAGACATATTTGTGATTAGGGACAGTCATAAGATGTGCAGCAAGAATCAACAACTTTCAGTGGCAAGTTAAGCTTACAGAACATGTATTGACTGTTGCTGGGCTTACATTTCTCTTTTGACTCTCTACAGCTTCCTGTCAAATTTTAACCCAAGTGGGATTTTATGAGTACCAATTTGGAAATTTTGGGAATTTGACAGTCACTCAAGATGGTGCAAGAAGTAAAAGTAACTTTTAGCAGACCTAAGGGAACACTGCAAAATAATGCATTGGACTGAAAAGTTGACGGCTCAATTCCACCAGCTGCTCCTCGAAAACCTTATACAGGGTCGCTATGAGTCAAAACCCACTTGACAGCACTTAACAACAACAACAACAACAAGGGAACATGCCAGTTGTATCTTTACTTTCTTTCTAGAGTGTGTATGGAAGAATTCTGTTATTTACAGTGAGAATATGGACCAATTAAATTTGTGCATATGTTCAAGTTCTCAGTTAGTTTATTTATGTCTAGTTATTTGTAATTGTTGTTGTTGTTAAGTGCCGTCGAGTCGGTTCCGACCCATAGCGACCCTGTACAGGGTTTCCGAGGGTGTAAATCCTTACGGGAGTAGAAAGCCTCATCTTTCTCCCGCGGAGCGGCTGGTAGTTTCGAACCGCTGACCTTAAGGTTCGCAGCCCGATTCGTAACCACTACGCTATAGGAGCCTATTAAGCTTGGCCTCGACATTTTAGTTAGTGTTGATGATATTAAATACCCCTTGCCTGTCTGAGCCCCTGTAACTATAGTGCCTTTTGACTTAATCAGACTGTTATAATAATGACTATACTTTCTGTTCAGTCCCAGAAATCCTGGATTGAAGGAGTATTTGACAAGAGAGAATGCAACAAAGTGATACCCAGCTCAAAAGACCCTCACAGGTACAATTTTTAATTAATTTCTTTAAAAGTAGCATTCTTTGGAGGATTGTTGGTGAAAACCTAGTTAGAGATATGCCTGATTAGAGGATTTGACATTATCTACGTGACGCTGTGCTGGATTGCAAGGTCGGTTTGAATTGCAAGGTTGTTGGTTCAAACTTACCAGTTGTTGTTGTTGTGAAGTTCCACCGAGTCAATTCCGATCCACAGTGACCCTGTATAGGGTTTCTGAGGAACAGCTGGTGAACTTGAACTGCTGACCTTTCAGTTCAAACGGCTTTGCAGTCTGGCACGTTAACCTACAGTGCCACACCAGGACTCCAAACTTACCAGCAGCTCCTTGGAAATCCTACAAAGGGACACTATGAGTCAAGACCGACTAGACAGCACTTAACAATAACAACATAGAAGTACCTGGTATAGTGCTGTAGAGTAAGCACTGGATTGCTAACCAGAAGGCTGGTGGTTCAAACCCACCAGCTGTACCTTGAAACTCCTATACAGGGTCACTATGAGTCAGGACCAGTTCAACAACACTTAACAGTACAATACAATAGAAATAGTATTTACAAAGTAGTGTTTAGAAAGAAGACCCCCAATGGGATGACTCAGCAGTGGCAGCAGCAATGGGCTCGAGTGTATCAATTGAGAAGGTGGCCCAAGACCGGGCAGTGCTTCATTCTGTTGTTCTTAGGTCATTATGATGGGAACCAACTTGACAGCACCTAACAACAGCAATAACAGCAGTGTTTATTTATTTGTAATCATTTTATTTCTTTTTATAAAAGGAATACATTGTCATTGTAGAAATTTTGGTAAGAACAGGAACCTTGTTAATTGCACCTCAGTTCAACCTCCATGTCTAAGACAGTGTCTGGCGCATAGTAAATTGGCACTTGAGAAATATCTGTTGTATGAACTAATGAAGAAGAAAACAGTTATAATTACATCACCGGATAGAGACGCTGTTAACGTTGTGATGTATTTCATTCCAGTCTTTCCCTTTTGATGCACTTGTTTTTGTTGATGGGAACAACGGGGCAAGATGTCAGGGAAATATCTATTTCTGTGAGGTTTGGGTAAATAATTGACAATTATTGAAGGCTGATGTTTACTGTCAGTGTTTCTTTTCCCCAACTGAAATGTGGATATGATGGTTCTTTGGGGTGTTTTAGTCCACTGTACTCCGTTGTAAAGACCTGTGGTTTTATTATTTTTTTTCCATTTTCATCTCACAGACTTTTCATCTGAATAGATAATGGGCAGCAAAATGGAATGAATCAAGATTGAGTCCTCTGAGTTCTTGACAGCCCTTTGGAAACTCTACTTGCAGAACAAAGTTCAAAAAAGCAGCTAGTGAAAAATAGGGGGAGAAAGGACTATGGAAAATTCCTCGGGTTAATCAAGTCCATGAAATTCAGATTGAGTGGCATTGCTTTTGCCACACACCACCCACCCCGCCCCCAAAATGACTGAGGAAAAGGAAAGGCAATATTTTAATTAGGGGTACTACTCTTTTTATACGGAGTCCTAATGTGGTGCTGAGGGTTAATGCGTCAGACTGGAAAGTTGTTTTAATTGCAAGGTCTGTGGTTCAAGCTTACTAGCTGCTCCTTGGGTTGGAATCGACTCGACGGCACCTAACAACAACAACTTTTTTTATATTCATTGAGCATTTGACTTTATATTCATCTGAAGCTTAGAAATTGCAACTTTAAGATTATGAAGGGGAACTTCGTAGGATCCTTGAAATTGTAGTCTTTTGGGGATGATTGAAGCTCAGTGCTCTTTCCCGTTGTTAAATATTTACTAGTCCCACCTTTGTTGAATTACTTAATGGTTTGTAAGCTCTGTGTTAGGAAGTTCTCATTTTATGTGCTCACAAAATGTTTTCAGAATACCAAAGTAACCTTGTTTCCCCCGCTTTGTCTTTTATGGTACCTCATAAAGTGATGGTGGCTGCAGTGGGCAGCCGATTGAGTTCATGAAGCTTCTTTGCTTCTGTTAATGGAAAATCATCTTTACAATTACCAGGAACCTTATGTAAAGGATAAACTTCAAGCCATTAGCCCATAGACTCAAGAAGATATATCAATGATCATAATTCTTGAATGGTCAAAGATATTTTACATTTTATAGGGGAAAAAAAGCAGTCCCTATTTTTGGGAGAGTATAAAACAAAAGCTAAAGGATGACTATGGTTATTCTTTTTACACCAACTTTTCCCTTAGATCCTCCTAAGGATTTTCAGAATCGTAGTTTATCTTCTTTACTAATTTTTTTTTTTTAAAGGTTTTTATTGAGGATTAAGTGAAAGTTTACAGGGCATATCATCAGTTTTACATTCAACAAATCATACACCTTGTTTCACTACATTGATTATAATCCCTTCCATGTACCATCAGTTAACAGCATTTTTCTCTATCCACTTTAGCTTTTTAAAAAAACACACAAACGAAAAAACCCACTCAGGCATGTATAATAATTTACATCTCCAAAGGGCACATTCTGCAAGTCTGCTCCTGGCCATGAGCTCTTAGTCCTTCTCTTAGTCCATGAATCTAGAGTTCTCAGCCACTCCCCCTCTCCATGCCCCCATCTCTGCCTCCATCTCTGGCACTGCTGCTTCTCTGGATAAGATGGCACATTCTATTTGTGTGTTCCTCTCTTGATGGTCCTAGGGTCTTCTGTTTCTGGACTGCAAGACTAACCACTCCCCTTTTTTTTACAAAACTTCTACCTTTACAATTGTGACAGTCGCGATTAGTCATGATGACAGTTATTCACTGTTGAATCTTACAAATCTTATCCCCATCTCTTTTCACCAGAACCATCTAGACAAGATGACAGCTATTCAGTGGGGACTCTTTCTTTCCCCCCACCCTCTTAAACTAAGCTCCCTCTTGAAACCTTGTAAGCCAGTCACTTCGTGCATTAATTGCCCCCTCATTTTAGGTAGCCAATGTCTAAGTTGCCCATCCCTATCTACCCTGTGTACAGAGCGGATAACATTGAAACTTGATTTGAAGACTCTTTCCCTCTCTGTTGGTATTTAGAGTAACTACCGCTCTGAGTATAGGTCAGGTTCATCATGAAGATGCAACATCTGTCACTGTAGCTGTTCCAGTCTGCTTGTCCTTTCTATTGGGAATGTCTCACCTCATAAGGTTGTGGATGGGACTCAGGATTCCACCTAAGGTCCTATACTCTGTGAAGGCTTTGCATGAGGCCTCTGTCACTGGGCAAGTTGTACAACCCCTTTTAGGTATTCCAATCAGTTATAGGCTGAAGGCGGGCTTACAAGTTTTCTCAAATCATGTTTCCCAACATTCCTTTCTATCCCACTCAAGTGTCTGTTTTACAATAGTAGGCAAGGGAAACTAATATTAATAAGGCAGTCAAGGATTTTAGTATTATTTACCCTCTTCAAGCTATACCTAGATCCCTGTATCCCAGAGTCCTGTTGTTCCAAGGTTGAGTATGCATCACTATTTCCCTTTGTCCCACTAGGCCATGCAAACCTGACTCAGTGTTCCCTTATCTATCTTGTTCTTCTGCCTCCTCCCCACTTCTTGTATTGCCCTCCCCAACACCCAAAGTAAACCCCCCACCCCAACGCCATTGTGGTTACCTTATATTCCATTAGTTCTTCCCTCCATTTAAGATAGTCTACTTTACCCAGTAATCTACCTGACCTTCTCACCACCTGGATCTCTGTTCCTCTGTGTTTACCTTTTTTCACATTGTAATTGTTTTGATCGTAGACTGACCTCCCAGATCCTCTGTTCTTATAATTTTATTCTGTTCTTGACTCATCCATTTTTCTACTGAGCTCAGGTTGATGCTGCCATGTACGTCATTCTGTAGTTGTTGTCTTTACTAATGTTTTTGATTGATTTTTTTTGTAGCTCTTAAACCAAGACTTCAGAGTGCTGGTGTGGTGCTGTAGGATAAGCACTGGACCATAAGGTCAGTTTGAACTACAAGGCCAGCAGTTCAAACTCACCAGTTGCTCCTGGGAAACCCTATAATGGGTCTCTATGAGTTGGAACTGACTCGATGGCACTTAACAACAACAAGAAACAAATCTGATAGACTCGGTGATAGTTTTCTTTTCCTTCTCATTTTTAATTTGTTAAAATGAAGCTTCTGAGAAAGGAAATTCCCAAAAGACCGGGATAGGAAGGAGAAGTGAAGGACTGAATTCTAGTTTCTGAATAATTTAGAGTAACCTTGAGTCCTTTGTTAGAACTTCTTCATACCTAAGATTTAATTGATGATATAATATTAACCCCCTAAATCCGGAAGTTTCTTCTGAATCATAAAAAAAGTATTATTAAGGATAATAATCATAATTACATCAACTCTCCCTTATATTGATAATATTTTAAGGTCTTACTTATATTTTGTTACTTGGTTTTCAAGAATTCTGTTATTATAATTTAATAATTATAATTTTGTTTGTTGTTGTTAAGTGCTGTTGAGTCGATTCAGACTCATAGCGACCCTGTATAGGCTTTCTAAGGAGCGGCTGGTGAGTTTCAACTGCCAAACTTTCGATTCAACCGACCTTGTGGTCAAGTGTTTATCCTACAGCGCTATACATACTACAATGTAAGATATTTTGCATATATTATCTCAGATAATCATTTGAGGAATCTTACAGGTCAGAACTTATTCCCAGATGTAATAACTAATGTTGACAGGCATTGCCAAATCAAATGAGATTGTAATCCAGGTATTGTGCTTTGTTAATTAAATTCTTAGTTAAGTGTTCTATGAATTACATCACTGTTGTTGTTATTAGGTGCTGTTGAGTTGGCTCTGACTCATAGTGACCCTGTATACAACTTAAGGAAGCACTGACTGGTTATGTGTCATCCTTGTGGTCATTCCTACTTCTGGGCACATTGTTGTAGCCACGGTGTCAATCTGTCTTGTTAGAGGTCTTCCTCTTTTTTGATGACCTTCTGTTTTGCCAAGCATGATGTCCTTCTCCAGGGACTAGTCCCTCCTGATAATATATCCAAAGTATGTGAGACAAAAATCTCACCATCCTTGCTTCAAAGAAGCACTCTGGCTGTGTTTTCCCTAACACAGATTTTCTTCTTCTTCTGACAGTCCATGGAATTTTTAACATTCTTTGCTAAAACCATAATTCAAAGACAGTTGCTGCTGTTTGGTAACTGAAATATGGAAACATTTGGGAAGTGATATTTGGGTTTTCTGCAAACCCTGATTTCCAAACCACAGAAGATAACAGATATTTACTGTGCCAACATTACATATGTTTTCACATCTGCCATTAAACTAACTGAGGTTTTTATTTCATTAATTTAGATGTACTGGAGGGTGCCAAATCTGCCAGAATTTAATCAGGTAAGACATAGTTAAATACTGTTACTTATTTAATCATTATTTAACACTAATTGAGACAGTTTCTTCATGAACTCAGTGAAAGAGCTTTACAAGTTCATTCTATTCACTTTTCCAAGGGAAGTTTCAAAAAGAAGTGAGAATTTTGGGGTGTTTATTTAAATGTAGTGGATTACTTGAATTGAAAATAGAAACACTTGTAAAGCATTATTCTCATTTAAATACCTACCTCATCTATTATGTATATATGCACTCTGTTTGGATAGTGAATTGTGCTGTATGTGATGTGAACCGAATACTTATTGAGCTTATGAGCGAAAATGACTAATGCAATATACATTTTAACATTGACTTGCCTGTTAAGCTATGTATTCGTATCTGTGTTTTACCTGTCTGATTTTTAAGGGAAAGGAATTGACATTTCCTTAATTCTGGGCTTTATATTATGGACTGAACAGATGCCAAATTAATTTCTGCAAAAAAAAAAAAAAAAAAAGTTCCAAATACAAAGTTGAGCAAATCATAGGGGAAGCAAACCATCATCCACAGATAGCTGATCATTCTGTCTTTCCCTCAAATTATTTTTTCCTTTCTTTTTAGTAATTATTTAAAAATTTATTAGAATTTCAAGCAAACATGAAAATATATAGAAAAGATGTGAAAAACTTCATTAACCTTCTTATTTCCAACCTTATTCTTCAAGACCTCTCGGAGACCTGTCAGAATCCTGCCAATCCCAGGGTCTCATATGACCCAGAGTGAAAAAGATTTCCATACAATTAAGAAACTGCTAAAAACTTGTATTTTTTTGCTAGTGACTAAGGACCTAGTTTGATTTTTTTCAATATGGAGAGCTCAGTACAAATTACTGAAGTCTTTTTCATGTTTGGTCTATTTATGATGTCATCTTTGTGATAGACCAAGTTCCCATAGGCGTCTGGCTCTGTTTCTGAGTTTTCTTTCCAGCACCATTGATCTGCTTCTCTGCTTTTGTCAGACACCACTCTGTTTAATTATTACAACTTTGACATATATTTTGATGGGGAAAGTCCTCTATGCTTTATTTTTTTTTTAAAAAGAAGTGTCTGACCCATTTGGACACATAGACATCCATGTGATTTTTAGAATTAACTTGTCAAGTTCCCTGAAAAATCCTTTGGGGTTTTAATGGTAATTTAATTAAATGTATAAAATCATTTGGGAGAGAATTGGTAACTTTTTAAGTTCAAATCTCAGAACGAGCCTCTAGTTCTTGTTACTGTTGTTGTTAAGTGCCTTCAAATCAGTTCTGATTCATAGTGACCGTGTACAGAAGAGCGGCTAGTGGGTTTGAACTGCAGACCTTATGGATCACAGTACAGTGCTGATCCGACAGTGCCACACCAGGAGTAGTTACTGTTAGCCTCCAATTTATGGCAGCCGTGGACCTCTGAGAGCCAGAGTTTCCACTGACTGCAGTAGATCATCAGGCCTTTCTTCCTTGTCTGTCTTAGCCTAGAAGCTCTGCTGAATCCTGCTCAGCATCATAGCGCCATGAAAGCCTCCACTACAAGATAGATAGGTGGGTACTCCCCATGGACAGTTCTACCACTGAGCACCCTAACACACATCTTTCCTCATTTTAAACCATTCAGAACCCCCCTTGTTCTGTTTGAATGACTTCTTCATGTCTATGTACAGGTTCTGCACGAACACAATTAAGTGCTCTGGAATTTCCATTCTTTGCAATGTTATCCATAGTTTATTATGATCGACACAGTCTAATGCTTTTGCATAGTCTATCAAACAGAAGTAAACATCTTTCTGACACTCTCTGCTTTCCGCCAAGATTCATCTAACATCAGTAATGATAGCCTCATTCCATGTCTTCTTCAAATCTGACTTGAATTTCTGGTAGCATCTTGTCAGTGTACTGCTGCAACCATTTTTAAATTTATCTTCAGCAAAATTTTCCTTGTGTGTGATATCAATGCTATTGTTTGATAGGATATACTCGAAATATCAAGATACATTTTTAAGGAGTCACAATTGCAATATAGCACCAGCAACCCATGCTGATATGGTGCTTTAGCACTTAATGAGTTTTTAATACTTCATATACAGTATGCATTTGCATAGAGAAATCAGTTTAAATTGTTTTCAAATTTAGATGTTGTCTTTAGCCGTGAACGTGGACAGGCATTTTAATATCACTGGAAATGCAAATAATTTTTGACTCACCCTTGTACTTTATTTTGTCTTCTAGAGCTGCCCTTTGGAATTTTCCATTCAGCTCATTTACATAGTAATTTCTTCCGTTTGCCTTAGCTATTCTATGTTTAAGAGCAAGTTTCTTCTGTCATCCACTTGAGTCTTTTCTTTCTTTCCTGTCTTTTAAATGACCTTTTGCTTTCTTCATGTATCATGCTCTTGATGTCATCTCACAAGTCTTCTGGTCTTCAGTCATTAGTATTCAGCGTGTCAAATCTGCACTTGAGATGGCCTCTAACTTCTAGTGGAATATACTCAAGTTCATATTTTGGCTCTTGTGGACTTATTTTAATTTTCTTCAAATTCAACCTGAACTTGCATATGAGGAGTTGATGCTCTGTTCCATAGTTGGCTGGTGATATTTGGCTTCTTTTGCCTGATGATATTGAACTTCTCCATTGTCTCTTCCCACAGATGTAGTCAGTTTGATTTGGTGTATTCCATAATCAGCTTGTATGTTACTGGAAAAAAGTATCTACAAGAAATAAGTCATTGGTCTTGCAAAATTCTATTATACATCCTCCAGTTTCATTTCTACCACCAAAGCCATCTTTTCCAACAACTGATCCTGTTTCCAACTTTTGCATTCCAATCACCAGAAATTATCAATGCCTCATGATTACATATTTGATCAATTTCAGACTGACTGAAAAAGTTGGTAGAATTCTTCAGTTTCTTCACTGGATTTAGTGGTTGGTGTGTAAACTTGAATAATAATTGTTTTAACTGGTAATTCTTTGTAGAAGTATAGATATTATCACAGACAGCATTGTATTGAAATGTTCTGTTAGGTTATGAATTTGACTCCATTCCTCTTGAATTTGTCATTCATAGCATAGTAAACCATATCACATGATTGTTCAATTAAAAGTGGCCAGTATCAGTTAATTTCAGCTTATTACTGCCTAGGATATCCATCTTGATGTGTTCCATTTCATTCCTGATGATTTTTACTTTACCTTTATTCACATTTTGGACATTTCATGTTCTGATTATTAATGGATATTTACAACTTTTTTTTTTTTTTTTCATTGTGAGGAGTGCTCCATTAGCAATTGAATTCTTGGAATGCTTTATTCCACCCATGTTATTAAGGACGATTCTAATTTGGGGAGGCAGCTCTTCCCCAGGTGTATTTTGAGTGTCTTCCAACCTGAGGGGCTCATCTTCCAACACTATATCACACAGTGTTCCACTGCTGTTCATAAGGTTTTCAATGGCTAATCCCTCATAAATGGACTGCCTATTCCTTCTTCCTCATCTTTCTTAATCTGGAAACTCCACTGAACCAGTCCACCATGGGTGACACTGGTATTTGAAATACCAGTGGCATATCTTCCAGCATTACAGGAGCACATAAACTACCATGTACAACAAACAGACAGACATTCAATATGTATGCTGAGCAAATAATTTGAGAAACTGGATTATATGAAAAATACAGTATTAGGATTGGAAGAAGGCTTGTTAGCAGCCTGCTTCTAGTGTGGTGCTGTAGTCAGCACTGGACTGTGAACCACAAAGTCAGCAGTTCAAACCCACCTGCCGATTAATGGTAGAAAGAGGAAGCTTTCTACTCTTGTAAGGATTTATAGCTTCAGAAACCCTATACAGGGTCACTATGAGTTGGAATCAACTCGATGACACCTAACAACAATAACATTGAGATGTTGGTTGTAAACATCAGGAGAGATAAGCTATAGTGGCTTACTACTATATTGTTGTTGTTGTTAAGTGCCGTGGAGTCGGTTCCGACTCATAGCGACCCTGCACAGGGTTTCCAAGGCTGTAAATCTTTATGGGAGCAGAACGCCTCATCTTTCTCCCGCGGAGCGGCTGGTAGTTTCGAACTGCTGATATAGTGGCCAGAAAAAATAGTTTGGACTTTTTCCTTTAGTTCATGGGATATATTTTTGATTCCTGGAATAACAAGGTATTATGAATCACTAATTGACTTCAGTCTTATCATATTACATGTTATTGAAAAAGATCATATAACAGCAATATTAGAGAAAAATTGAAAAGGAAAAAGTTTTCAAAAGCACCAACACCTAAAATTCTATTGTGTTAATGTGCCACATTTTATTAATTACTCTAAGAAAAATAGGTGACTTTAAATTTTTTTTCTCTATTACATTTAGTGTTATGACAAGTATAATCTTGCATATAATTGGCTTTTGTGATTCTTGAATTGTTTGATCAGGATGAATTTCTAAATTAGAAAAATATTTAATAAATTTAACATCCACTTTAGTGTTATGGTTTAAAAATATTTAGCTAAAATTAGTACACATGTCTCAAAATTGCTTCAATTCACAATTCAAGCAAGCACAAACATTTACCTTGGAATTATTTATTTTTCCTTTATCCTGAATCATTTGCAAAGTTAAGTAAATTCATTGTAGCAAGTATATAATCTTGTATATTTGATGCGAATAATTTCTCAGTATGTAAATATATTTTTTTCACTGAACAAATTTCAATTTTTCACTGAATATAATAGAAGTTTTAAAGTTCCTTTAAATATTTAAATGTCAATTTTTCTTTTTATTTTCTAATTCATCAAAGATGAGAAGTTCATCATACTTCCACAAATATAATGAGTGTAGTATGATATTTTCTGTTAGTTTTTACATATTATCAATTTTTAAAAGGTTTAACCTTTTAACTTGCTTAGTTTATTTTGTGGCATAGTATAACTTATGCTTATTTACTGAATATTTTTCAAAATTAATAATGCTATCCAGGAATATATGTTGCCGTTGTTGTTAAGTGCCGTCGGGTCAATTCCGACCCATAGCGACACCGTATAGGGTTTCTGAGGAGAGCCTGGTGAGCTTGAACCACCAACCAACGTTGTTCAACCAACATTACAGTCCAGCACATTAACCCACAATGCCACCCAGGACTTCTTGCAGGAATGTATTTGTTGTTGTTAAATGCCATCGAGTTGGTTCCGATTCATAGTGACCCTGTATAGGGTTTCCAAGGAGCGGCTGGTGAGCTTGACCCATTGACCTTGCAGTTCAAACAGCTTTTCAGTCTGGCGCATTAACCCACCTAGCTATCTTCAAAAGTTTATTATGTACATATTAATCTATTATTTATTTATGTTTGTAGTTAGTCTCTTTCACATTTCTTTTCCATCAAGAGTTCTATTTTTACATATACATGCAATTTTTATTTATTTTTCTTCAAAATTAAAGTTTATTTATACAAACATGAATTCATTTATGATTCATTTGTCTTTTTTATTTTTCTTTCCAGTGATGTTATTCCTGCTGGTATTTCTAGCATATCTCTAAGTCTGGAATCAGAATTTTGTCTCTGAATCCTGACTTTATCCTTTAAGCTATATGACCTTGGGAAAGTCATTTAACTTCTTTATGTTTCTACTTTTCATTTATTATCAGACCAAACCAAATCCACTACCATAGAGTCAATTCCGATGCATCAAACCTTTAAGACATAGTATACTGCTCCATAGGCTTTCGGAAACTAAATCTTTGCAAAAGCAGACAGTCTCATCTTCTTCCATGGAGCAGTTGGTCGGTTTGAACACCTGAGCTTTTGGTTGGTAGCCCAGTGCTTAACACACTGCACTACCAGGGGCAATCTATTAAAAATATATTTAAATACATAATAAATATATGTTTATCTGTTAAATTTGTATATATTAAAAATACGTATGTTGTTTTTGTTAAGTACTATTGAGTCAGTTCTGACTCAATGACTCTGTATAGGGTTTCTGAGGAGTAACTGGTAATTTTAAATTGCCAACTTTGCAGTTAGCAGTCCAGAGCTTGTCCTATAGCACTACACCAGGACTCTCTCTCTTTCTCTCTCTCTCTAAATTAAACATACATTGTTGTTTTTGTTAACTGATGTCAAGTAGGTTTGACTTATAGCAACCCTGTATAGGGCTTCTGAGGAACAGCTAGTGAGTTTGAACCGCCGACTTCATTGTTCAAACCGACCTTGCAGTCCTGTGCTTATCCTACAGCCACACCAGGACTCATATAAGTATACGTTGTTGTTGTTGTTACGTGCTGTCGAGTCATTAAACACACACAAAAAGTTTATATGTGTTTCAATGCATATAAATCTTTTTGTGTGTTTATTTATATTTAATATTCCTATATAATGTATATATGAATTAAAATTTTAAGTAGTTATTTTACCTATTAAATATAAATTGCTATTGTTAAGTGTTTTCCAGTAGGTTCTGACTTGTAGTGAACCTGTGTCGAGTTTCTAAGGAGTTTGAAGTGTCAACCTTGTGGTTCATAGTCAGTGCACACGTAAATCTTAATGTGAAGTCTAGAAAAATTGTTTATTTATGTCATCTATGCATTACCTTAGAAAAATGTAGAAGAATTGCATCTGTATTTTACTCTGAAATTGTTTTTTATCCTGAATTTAAGGTGTTACTGTGGACGATTGATTGGAGATCATCCTGGAATAGCTTATCCCTGGACCATTTCAGCTTCCATCAATGATGAAAATGAACAATGGTCTGTTGAAAAACACACAACAAAAAGCCCTACAGATACTTTTGGCACTATTAATTTCCAAGATGGAGATCACATCTACCATTCCAAGGTTTGCTAATAACCCAAATGGTTTTGCTCATTTTTAATGATGAATAGTTTCCAGATGTGTTACTATTACCAAATTGCAGACAATAAAACTTGGTTTGCAAATGTGATAAAAGGTATGGACCTTTGACAAAAATAATAGCTTTACCTTTCTCTTTGTGTCTAAGGGGTGTTGTACCTTTCCCCAGTGTGGTATGATCAGCTCTATATTTGACCTCTTTTGGTAAGGTTAGATCCTCTGCAGAAGAGAATACCATGTTGTCCTTGAGACACTTGTAATGAGATGTAATGAGGCTGTCTTTTTTTAAGGACTGAAAAAAAAAAAAAAAAGGAGGTTTTTAGCTGAAGCATGACTAAAATAATTACCAGTAACTTGGGCCTGAACACACCTGCTGAGTGCTTGGATGGGGCTATCCTGAGAAGGAAATAGGAGAATTTCTTTCTGTACCCACTAAATGAGTGCTTGGTCTTTCCTGTCCAATGTCTCTACTGTAGTTAACATACTAATTTTGCATGTAATTAGCATTAAAATGTGTTTTCTCTTGAGCATGTTAACCACCAGTGGCTTTATTAGACAGAGACAGATTTTCATAGGGTAACTACAGGTGGAAAGATTTGAATCACCTGGTACCCTTAGCTTTGATGGACTTGAAATGATAACTCCTAATAGTACAATCATAAGACACTTCTCTAATAATCTCCAATTCCAGTTATTAGTCCTCTTAGATATAACTTTATGTGTTGATATTTTCTGTAATTGGCAAGAAAACTGTCCTCATTCCCCTTTTCAATAATTTTAGGGAGCCGACACTATGGAATTCTGGAGGCAGTTTTTTCCATTCAATTTTCATTTTCATCCTTTGCTTCTGTGCTTTTTTTAAATAATCTTCATTTGCTCACTTTTTTATTCATCCAAGAAATCTTTATTGGGTCCTCACACTTTGGTACTCTTCAAAGAGCATAAAGTGTTTCATGTGCTAATGTTGTTTACATTCTAGTGTGGGAAACAAATACACAATTAACACAAATGATTTTGATGCTGGTAAAAGGAATTTAAGAGTGCATTGAGACAGTAACTCCTATTTTAATTGGTGGCGAGAAGTATCAAGAAAACTTTCTGAAAGTAGGAACAGCAAATCTGATATCTGAAAGTTGAAAAACGTGTCTGGTGAGGCAGAGGAGTGAGACTATGTTTCAAGAAAGGTCAAGAAAGTATTTGATGTATGGAGGGGAACCGAATATATGGTTGGACAGAATCCTTGATCATTAACATGATTTTATGGTGCTGTGGGTTAATGCGTTGGACTGCAAAGTCAGTTTGAACCATAAGGTTGGTGGTTCAAGCTCACCCACTGCCCCTCAGAAGCTCTATGTAGGGTCACCGTGGGTTGGAATCAACTCTACGGCACTTAACAACAACAACAACAACATGCTTAGCATTAGGCTTCATGTTGCAGCCAGTACTTGAAGGCATTTTTTTCAATCTTGCAGAAGATAAGAGACTATCTTTCATATTTAGATGGAGAATTGAACTTCAGATTTATTTCATATCTTTGTTGAGCTGTGAGAAAGCTTGCAAGAGCTCTGTTGGCCCCCCGTGCTGCATTCCTATTCTGGATTTTCTCCTCCCACTTTATTCTACAAAGGATATGAGGTGACCTTTTGCTACTAAGATTCAGCCTAGCAAGTTTGTTGTCTTTAAAGGATGTAAAGAGGAAAGAATAAATCAGAGAAGAAACAATGAGTCATTGACTTATAGTCTTTGTGTGGCCCTTGACACAAGCTGTTCTGTATAGTGAGTGTGTTTCTTGGGTTTGGGTATTGTGTAGTAAAAGACTCTAGTGTTAATATTTAGTTTATTAAAGTTGTTGTTAAGCACCGTTGAGTGGGTTCTGACTCATAGCGATCCTGTAGAGGGTTTCTCAGGAGCAGCTGGTGAGTTTGAACTTCTGACCTTGCAGTTCAGTGCTAATCCTACAGCAGCATGACACCAGGACTCCTTGTCAAGGTTTTTTATCCATTATTTTGAGGAGTGAGAAATGTCTTCTTGGACTAAAAATACTCGTATTAGAAAGAGAGGGGCACTTGGTAGAAATAATTGAGAGAAAGAGAAGATGTTAAAAAGGATCTGTTTCTTCTGCCCTCCAATTTATTATTTGGAGCAACATTAACCATGTCATGAAACCCACTCTGAACAACCATATAGGGCTGAGTAGATTGCCCTATAGGATTTCCTAGATTGAAAATCTTTACAGAAGCAGACTGACACATCTTTCTCCCTCAGAGATGCTGGTGTGTTTTAACTGCCAACTGTTTGGTTAGCAAGTGAATGTTTCAACTACTGTGCCATCAGGGTGCCTTATGCCTGCAAGTTCACCTTGTATTTTTTCCTAGTACTTTGTTGTTGTTGTTGGTAAGTGACCTTGAATCGTGTTCTGACCCATAGCGAACCTGTATAGCCTTTCCAAGGAGAACCTTGTGGTTCATACCGACATTGCAGTCCAGTGCATTAACCCACAGCGCCACACCAAGACTCCTACAACTTTAGCATTGAACAAAGCCCTGGTGGCTCAGTTTCCCCACTCGTAAATTGAGTCCTGGGTATCCTTAGTGTCTTTCTGCCTCTCACATTCTGTGACAGCTGCATCATCTCCCTATTCAGGAATTATAGTATTTTAATTATGAAATAAAGGAAATATATTTTAAGAAGTTCAAAGATTAATAAAAGAATTGCTTAAAATTGCCATCATATGCTACAAGTTAATGTGCTAATTCTTGTTTGTATGTATGAAGAACTATGCATGTGATTATTTTTGGCCTAGTTTTATGACTCATGGTTTCTTATTGACTTAATTTCTTAGTGTAAATCAAGACTTACCCTTGCTAGTGGTTAGTTAGTATAGGGTTGAGGAAGCAAATCATATTTGTTATTGTTAAGTACTGTCGAGTCAGTTTTGACTCATAGCAACTCTGTATAGGGTTTCCAAGGAGCAGCTGGTGAGCTTGAACCACTGACCATGCGGTTAAAATTGACTTTGCAGTCTCGTGCATTAACCTGCAGTGCCATACCAGGACTCCAAAATCATATGTATATAATTTAAATGCTTCCTAGGTGGCTGGATCTGCTGGAAAGACAAGCCAACTATACAACAGAATCCAATGCAAAATGCAAATGATTCAGGGACTCCCTGATGATATGGATCTCCTTCATTGCTTGTTTCTTTTGGATGCATTAACTAGTCAGAAAAAACTTGTTTCATGAAAAATACTTACTTTGGAAGAAAATGTTTTCAGTGGGGTAATTAGACATAAAAGAAATGAATGGATAGAATATAAAATTTATAATCAATTTGAGATTCATATTCCTTGATCTTAATTTAAATTGTGTAGTTACACATCAATGGTCATATATATGAAAAAGATAGAATTTATTAAAATGCTCCATTTCACCCATTTCTCAAACCTCTTTATTTGCTGATGTACTGAAGTAGGGATTTTTGCCAGTTGTTTAAAGTCTTTCTACCTCACATCAGAGCCTCTGGAAAACCCTGATGGGCCAATCTTGAAAACCAGAGGAAATTTTCCTGCAGTGACTTGTAATTCCCAGAAGGAACTTACAAGGAAGTGTGGGATCATTGAAAAGTAAATATTTCCATTTTGTGAAGACCAGGCTTTAAAGAAATCTCAGTCACTTGCTTCCAAGTTTGGACCATTTCATTTGCCTGCTGGGTGCGAATTGTTTCTATATCTGGCATATATGTTACTTTATTTGATGTATATGAACATGTCTTGCAGTATATTAGGACTTCCTATGATACCAAGTTGGATCATCTGTTACACTTAATGTTGAAAGAGTGGAAGATGGAATTGCCAAAGCTGGTGATCTCCGTCCATGGCGGTATCCAGAACTTTAAAATGCCCTCCAAACTTAAAGAGGTATTCAGTCAAGGTTTGGTCAAAGCTGCAGAGACAACAGGAGCTTGGATACTGACTGAAGGCATTAATACTGGTAATATTTTATTCCCTCTTTCTAAGTTGTGGGTTAGGCAGCATGGCACCTAATATCTTCTCATGACATCAGGAGATACAGTACATGAGGAAGAAAGAGGAAAAGCCTAGTGATCGGGAAACAAACAGAGTAACTATAGGCCTTACCATTGTCATTGGGTGAGCTTCTGACAAAGGTGAATGATAGTCTTTCATGAAATTCAAACTATAGTGAGGCTAGCAAGGGTACTGATTCCATGCAACTGTGTAACATGTGTGAGCAAGGACGTTAGCTAAAGTCACATAGTCATCGCCAAGTCCTCAGACAATGTAAATCACTGATGTGTATGAAAGTTGCATTGAGCGTATTGGGCAAGAGCAGATGGTAACTTCTTTGATGCATATATTTTAAACCGCATCATTGCCAGTACACTCACTGCCTTTATTTGCTTGTTGCTGACTCTCTTTTATACCCCGTTAAGAGTCTATTCTAGAACTTCATCTAGTGGCTTCTTAACCTCTACCCTTACTCTTTTGCATTGACATTTATGAACTGGCTGCTCAATAGAATCACTTGGGCAGTTGCAAAACAAACAAAAAGAAGAAAAACCCACGCATGGTTAGATTCTACACCAAATTCAGTAGAGGGTGCAGTTTCTGAAGAAAGTCTCTGGGACGGCTAGAGTTTAGTACAATGACTCTACAAAGTTTCTGTTAGTAACCAGTTATGAACTTTGTGGTTTTCCATTTTCTCTTAGTTTTTCCTCCTTTTGATTTTCCCTCTTAGGATGCCCTAACCAATGCTTCCTATTCATTTTTGCCCATCCTTTAAGATCTACGTAAGGTGTCACCACACCCCAGATATGCTTGCTTTTTCTGCGTAATTCTATAGCATATACTGTATCCAGCACTTGTAAGTTGTTTGCCTATAGTGAGACCTGTGAGAATTGGAACTTGATGTGATTGTCCTGTTTTTCTGGGTCTCACAAGTTTTCTGCCGGTAACAGGGTGCAGTCTTACTGCTTTTCTATTGCTCATTTTAGTGGAAAATATTTGAATTTTCCTTCTCTGGCAGGTTTCCACCTTATACAGGGTCACACTTTAGCAGGTTTCATGAGGAGGTTTCAAAATGTATGTAGACAAAATTCCATTATCTCTTTTTAAATGTTTTATTGTGAATTATGTAATAGTTTACATGGGAGAACCTTAGTTTTACAATTATCCTATTGTATATTGTTTCATTGCCATGGTTACAATCCCCTCCATGCATCATCAACCAACCAAAGGGTATATCTTACAAGCCTGCCCCCTGTTCTACCACTCCCCCCACCTCAAGCCCCGGTGTTCAGCACATAGCCTCTCTCCCTCTCTGGGTCTAAAGCCCCCACCTGCTCCATCTCTCCACATCATTGTCTCTGCCTCCATCTCAGACGTCACTGCTTCTCTGGGTAGGGTTCTGCTCTCCGCTCTTCTCCCTTCATGGCCCCAGGGACCTCTGCTCCTAGACTGAAAAGTTAATCACTCCCCTCCTTGCTACAAAATGTCTACCTTTACATTTCCAACCCTTTACAACCCTCATAAGCAGTCCTGATAACAATTATTCACTATGGTATCACAAGAGACCTATGCACATTTCTTTCATTAGCCCCGCCTAGACAGATTGGATACTACTCAGTGGAGATTCTACCTTCCTCCATGCCCTCTGGATCTAGGTTCCCTCTTGAAAGCTTGTAAGGCAGTCACTTCTTGCCTTTGTAGCCCCCCATTTTGGGTAGCCAATGTCCAAGTTGCCCATCCCTGTCTACTCTGTGTATGGAGGGGGTGGGAATGATCCTTGCTGTAAAGATTTGTTCCCTCTTTTGACCTAGATGTAGGTCAAGTGCATCCAATTGTATCAGATTACTTTTTTTCCTCTTCTTTCTTCTTCTGGTTGAGCTGTGATCATCCAGTCATTGAAGCCAGGTCAAGTGGGTATTATCTGCAAGTGTGGGTGTTCTTATGCATATGCCCTGTCTTCTTATCAGCTGGATGCTTCACTCTCCACTCTAGTCCTCTGTGGCTATGTCACTGACTCTGGTCCCAAGAGTCCCCAGGTCTTGCCACACTGTTGGCTAACCAGGTCTCCACCCGGGGTTCACAGGAGTTTATTGAACGTTGTAGGGCTTAGCTTGCCACTTCCTTGCTGTTTTTCCCTCACTTCCCTTTATCGGTGATGAACATGGTCACCAATCAGAGCATTTATTCCCACTGAGTCTTAGTCTTGGAAGGGGGTTTACTCTGAGGGGATCTGCCATCCACTTGCCTTGATGTCTCCTGGGTGAGCAACTTGTTTGTTCTTTTTGTAATCAGTCGGTCTGCCTGTATTGGTTTTTATTTTTCCGGTCGGTTTTTCTTTCAAGAAGTATCTTCTGTTCTAGCTGCTCCAGGCGGGTCTGCCCATCCTTTCAAGAGGAAATTTCCCACCTGTAAAGATTCTGGATCCTATTCAAGATTTCACCTATAATCTTATGTAATTCAGAGGCTCCGCAAGAAGCCTCCTTCACTGGG